GTGGACGAGTTCTTAAATCTCAACAAAATTATCCGCCGTTGAAGTACAAACAGTTCCTAGATCTCGATGAAGATGTTTCCCTCAGTCGAAGTACTGACCGGTTCTTAAATCTCAACTGAATTATTCTCGGTTGAATTACAGATAAGGTTCTAAATCTCGACAATTTTCCTCCTTCGAAGTGTGGACGAGTTCTTAAATCTCAACAGAATTATCCTCTGTTGAAGTACAGACAGTTCCTAGATCTCGATGAAGATGTTTCCCTCAGTCGAAGTACTGACCGGTTCTTAAATCTCAACTGAATTATTCTCGGTTGAATTACATATAAGGTTCTAAATCTCGACAATTTTCCTTCGTCGAAGTGTGGACGAGTTCTTAAATCTCAACAGAATTATCCTCCGTTGAAGTACAGACAGTTCCTAGATCTCGATGAAGATGTTTCCCTCAGTCGAAGTACTGACCGATTCTTAAATCTCAACTGAATTATCCTTGGTTAAATTACAGATAAGGTTCTAAATCTCGATAATTTTCCTCCGTCGAAGTGTGGACGAGTTCTTAAATCTCAACAGAATTATCCTCCGTTGAAGTACAGACAGTTCATAGATCTCGATGAAGATATTTCCCTCAGTCGAAGTACTGACCGGTTCTTAAATGTCAACTGAATTATCCTCGGTTAAATTACAGATAAGGTTCTAAATCTCGACAATTTTCCTCCGTCGAAGTGTGGACAAGTTCTTAAATCTCAACAGAATTATCCTCCGTTGAAGTACAGACAGTTCCTAGATCTCGATGAAGATGTTTCCCTCAGTCGAAGTACTGACCGGTTCTTAAATCTCAACTGAATTATCCTCGGTTGAATTATAGATAAGGTTCTAAATCTCGACAATTCTCCTCAGCTGAAGTACTGACCGGCTCTTAAATCTCAACTGAATCAACCTCTGTTGAATTACAGGTAAGGTTCTAAATCTCGACAGATTTCCCCCAGTTGAATTACGGACAAGTTCTTAAAACTCAACGGAGATGTTCTCTCAGTTGAAGTACATGAAAGCTCCTAAATCTCAACAAAGATCAGACTTCCCCCAGCGGAATCTTCCACAACAACAGGTAGGCAAGTTCTCGCTAAGGAATCTCTTATGCGATCGACATTCATGCAGATGGCATCTTTAAGCCCATCCTCCTGTCAGCAGTCTCCAAATGGCATCTATAAGCCCATTCCTGACATCACAAGGCTGATACCACTTCATGCGAGTGCAAATTTCTAGGCACTCTAGTGTTCAATCATCTTCCACCTTTGGATCACGAAAGGCACGAAAGCCAATCTACATCCTCAGGTTTAAGAAGATTGAACAGGGGAAGCTGTTGTACCCCAAAATTTTCCCTCTCATATTCCTCAAAACATTGCAAGAAAGATCCCCAAGTGGTTCAAGGTAGCTCAAGAGTTGGTCAGACAAGCTATCTCCTAAGGCAGTCAACCCCAAATTAGGGTTTTGTGTTGCACCAAGATCATTGAGTCCAAATGACCTCAAGTGCTCCCTAATGTCCTAATATATTCTCAAGATCATCCATGTCAAATTTCAAGCCTTGCATAGGAAGTTTGCTCAGTCAATTGCTCAAAGGGTCCAAAAATCGACTATGCTAGGGCAAAAGTCAACTGTGACCCAAATACAATCAAACTTCAAGATTTTTGTCAACATTATCATTTTGAAGGATATTTCATCATTTTATCAAGGTTTGATCATGATTCATCAAGGATTTCTCAAAATTCATCAAGACTCAAAAGTTGCTAAATTAGGGTTTTGTAGGAAAAGTCAACTCAACTTTGACCAAGCATAACTTTCTCATACTTTATGAGAAATGATCCATTCAAAGCTAATTTTGAATAGGATGCAATTTAATACAATCCATCTTCATATCCCAAGATCAAAAAATTCACTCACAAGAAGTTATAAATTTGGACATTATAGGTCATTTTTGAAAGTCAACAAAAACACCTTTTTTTTCTAAAGCTTATAACTTGAGCATGGAATATCCAAATGAGATGAGACCAAATGGGTTGGTTAGAGGACATCTCAAACTTTCTAAAAAGTCCAACAACACTTACAAAAGTTAAAAATTGAAGAAGTTATGCATTGTTGAAGTTGGATTGTTTTGCAAAATTGCCAAAAGTCAACTATCCCCAAAACATCAAATTTTGTCAAATGGTCCCATTCTTTTCAACTTGATTTGAGCTTGCATAGTTTCCCACGTGTCCTAGCTTCAGCCATGAGCCCATATTTTATTTTTATTATTTTATTTGATTTTTATTTGAATTTATTCATTTAAAATCAAATTAAATCATATAAAATCCAAAACTTTGATTACATGAGATTTTTTGGTTGTTTCAGGTTTTAATTATCATCATTATCATCATCAAACTCGAATCATACAATATCATGTGCAAAAATATTGAGATTTGGCAAATTTGGAAAGTTGTAAAGAGGATATCAAATCAAATTCCAAGGCATTGATAAGGGAAGATTCATTCCATAATTCTTACCCTAATAAACTCCATAGTGTAATACCCCAAATTTGTCCTACCCTCCTACTTTTATCTGGTTTACGCATTGTCGCACTTTTCTCATGTACATATTTCCATTAGGTCATTTAACATTGCATACATTCACTAACAACATAACTTCGCAAGGGGTCGAGAACCTTCAGGATTAGGGTTTTATCAACTGGCTAAGGTGTATATGTTCAAATAGAGCCTGATTCTTCTGGTTATTTTTCAAGGCAATGAAATTGCGGAATTAGGGTTTTGTGTTCATGGATATTGTGGATCTTTTCTTCATCAAGCTACAAGGTCATCCTCCATCAAGAATTCATCCAGAGCAAAGTACATTGGGGTTTTTACTTATGGTATTTGGTGTCTCGTCAAGGTTGTAGTTGAGGTTATTTTGAACCGGGATTTTGGCTTAAGCTATCTTTCTCCTCATTGAGTATCCAATACCAGAGAATTAGGGACTCAAAGCATTAATTTTATCGATCATCAAGTAAAGACGTAATGCTAGGATGATGTTACAAATTCACTAAGATTAAGGCATTATTGGTTCTCTCATTTCTTGTTTTCATTGTGGTGAAAGTATTCGTTTAAGTGATTTTTTGGGGTCATGAGTTCGAGTGGATTCAAATTTGTTAAATTGGACCAATATTTTAAGAGGAAAAGCGTATTAAGTTTGGAAAGTCCATCCACGAGGATTCCTTGGAATTCAAGTCACTTCGAAGAAGAAAGCACACCATGTTCATCCATGATCAAGATTTTGGATTTCAAATAAAAGTCTTTCTTTAGTCATCTTTGAGTTTATCTCGTGAGTCATCCATAAAAAAGGTTAGATATCATATGTTTCATCCAAGTCGCAAATAAAGGGAAGCATTGGGAGCTCTTAGTTCTATTTGAAGAGAACTTGATTTTGGATAGGAGATTGAAGGTTTGGAATTGCCAAATTAATATTGCATTCAAGAACATTCAAGTTTCATTCAAATTTCCACCAAGTATTAAAAGAGGGTTCAAAGCCATTTATTTAGAATATTCAACATGAAAGTGGAAGCAAACTTCTTTACAAAGCAAAAGAATTCATATTTTATGTTACATTCAATAATACCATTACAACTCCAAACCATCTACTTTCCAAAATAGAAGGAATTTTCACAAGAAGTTTGCATTACCAATATAATTACAAAATAACACATTACATTAAACCTATGACTTAATCCTCATCTATAACCTCCTTTGCCAAAACTCCATGAGATCCATATTTTAAGCCCTTCTTCAAGCTTCTAAATCATGACCATGATCAACTCTCCAGCTATGCCAAAACCTGCAGCCCCGTATCAAAGTACCAAACCAGCTGCTGCCTGAAGAATATAAAACCATTAAACCAATCCACACTAAAATCAGTCCAATAACCGCATTTGAAAACAATTCAATTCATAAAGCCTAACCAATTACCAAACCAATCATAACAGAACTCAACTGTCAAAAAGAGTCCCTAACAGAAAACTAACCCATAGCATATTTGCAAAACTAACCATAACCACCAATAACAAATAACAAACAGCCTAACTAACTTCTAACCAATCCTAACCACCTAACCAACTCTGTAACAAAACTCTATAACTTCCAACCAAAACAGAATCTCTGAATAATAAAAATCCTAACCTTCTAACAAATTTCAAAAAAACCCTCAACTGTCAAAAACTACAATAGCCCAACAAACAGATAACTAACCCATAGCATATTTGCAACAAAAAGACCTCCACATAACTAACAGGATATAAAGAACTGGCTCACCTTGATTCAATCGATATACTCCCGATTACTCTCCCACACTATAATCTCCACCTTCACTTCTAAACCTCCTTCTTCATGCTTGCTCTACTCCCACTCTCTCTTTCTGCATTCATTCACGAAGAATCACCATTTATTATGGGTGCATCTTTAATCGTCATCATCGCCATTCACCAATCATTAGTCTCCCAGAATCTCTTCACTGATTCTTCAATCGCCGTCTGCAAATGCGACCTGCTTCATTCTGCATCAATAACAACAATTCATGCACACATCATTACACCAACAAACGTTTTTGCTTCGCAAACCTCAACGAATCTACAACATCTTTATTGCACTAAATCAAAAACAACTTCAATCATAATGCTTCCTCGCACCACCACAACAATAACTCAATGAAATAGAAACACGAACAAGAAAAAAGCGCAAAGAATCGAGCACAAGAAGAAGAGTACGAGTGAAGAAGAAATACCTGGATTATTTGGCCGTGTGGAATGGGATTTCTGATTCTTCTTCTATCGCCAAATCCCATCGGAGTGTCTGCAATCGGTAACATTCGAAATCCCTAACTCTCTTCATTCTTGTCGTTGTTGTAAAAAAGGGAACTATGTGATTTACCATGAAACAAATCGAGACGGAGATGACTCGAAGCTGAAGGTTGGGCGATTGAAGCAGAATGGCGAAGAGCGAGCGAAAATGGCTTAACATTTTACATCTGCGGAGATGCTGTAAGCATCGATTGAGAAAAGAGAGGCGGAATCGGTATCGCACCTCCGGTGAATCTCCGGAGAAGAAGAAGACAACTTCGCAAGGAATTGGGAACGTCACAGAACCTTGTACTCTATCTCCTCCTCAAACGCGATGTTCTAAGTGCTGAATTTTTGTATAAGCCTCTTGCCTCATGCAACAAAAAAAACTCAGTACTGAATTCATTTTGGTTAGGCCCATCTGTTGCTTTTTGGACTAACGTCTAGCTAAACAAAAAATCCCCTGGGCTCGCAGGTTGGGCCTCAACGCCCTGGGTTGATTAATGTACCATACTCCCTGGTCCTGCTTATACCCCTTAATCTCTATTTTTTTGTTAGATTTAGAATTTTCCGTTTAATTTTTCTTTATTTCTTTCTTTCTATGATAAAAGATGTAAAATCTATAAAATTTGTTAGACCTCTTTAATTGATTTTAGAAATTAATTCTTTAGTTTTTTATTTATTTATAATTTTCCTCACATAAAAAAACTAATAAAAAAACTTCTTTTTTCTTTTAGTTTTTATTCATATTCCATATTGTCGTGCCTCGTTATTTTTGACGCGTTTGTTCATTGTGCAAGGTACATTTTTATGCTTTCGATCATATAACATAATAAGTTGTTATGTGATTGAAGCATACGGCTTATGCTCGCTCCTGAGGCGACACGCCTTATTTATCATCATCCTGAGAAATTCATATTCTTGCTCGACGCGTACTCCCTGCTTTTTCAGTGCTTGCGCCTGCTCTTGACAACTTGCTCACTTTGGTAGCCTCCGCTACTACCCTTGCACCTCATTTTGCACTTTATTGCATTTCTTTACTGCTTGTTAATATTAGATATAATTCCCTCAAGAACCCAAATCTTATGGCTACTAATGCACGATAACATCAGGTTTAGAAATAGGCTAATCCCCCTTTAACTTTTCTTGCCCTTTTGCATTCGCATTTAAAACAAAAACTTCTTTTTCTTCTCAAAATTCAAAACAATTTAAAACTACTGATGAGAATCATGCTTTTGCTTAGTACGAGAAATGATAAGTGGGTCTCTTCTCGATCTTATCGTTCTTCATCTCAAGTTTAGGTGTGGTTCAATTCTCAAAGACTCCTTTCATAGCTAAGTAGAAAAGTGGCTAATATCTCTCTCTTGAGGTCGACTAGTCGCTATCTACAACGAAAATACAAATCAACTCAAATCATTTGTGCGCTCGAGCACTTTTCTAAAAAACCCTTTTTAGGTAAGGACATGATTAATTTACTTCTGTGCCAACGCATAAGTCTCCAAAGGTCGAGCTGTGACAGAAGGCGGAATTAACTTCGTCCATAAAAAACACAAACAAACAAAAACATATGAGCCGAACTACGGTAGCTCTGATTCCTCAAAACGGATACGTAGGCATTGGGGTAGGGCCCAAGCGAGCACAATTTTACTTTCCCTACATTCTTTTCTCCTTTCTTTTGCATGCATTCTCCCTTCAGTAGTATAATAAACAATAAGCATAGATTGAACACACCCATAAGATAGACAACAAGAGTGGATACCATAGAGTACTACGGGCGTGTGGAGTGCTAATACCTTCCCCTTGCGTAACAGACTCTCTTACCCGATCTCTCGGTCGTAACACCGTGACTTCTCCCTTCTCAGGTTTTCTCGATGTTTACCTTTCCCTACATGTGGGATAAAAGACGTTCGATGGCGACTTCATTGTTTGATGATTTTCAGCCGGTTGTTTCACATAGTACATAAGCAAGCAAAAGGAATCGAAACAAGGGTTGGAAAGTGTAAGCATAGGCAGAACAAAGTTTGAAAAAAGTGGCAAAAAGCTTGAAATCGAAATCGTACTTAGAGGTGTTTTCAAGGGCTGAGACTTGTCCCAAACGCTTCCTGGGTGTTCACTTAATATACCTGGATCAAAAGCAAGCTTTCTCACACACCACAACACGTTGTAAGTATCACGAAATACACCTCTGTTCTTGATTTCGCAACTCTAAATTTATGCATCTTTTTCATGAATCAACACCATATTTTGAATCTACATGACATTTGTAAACGTTTGGCATTATCCAATTACTTTTATCTGGCCTGAACGAAGAACCACCATAGCTAGGGTTCTTCGTTTGTTTTTTGGGGTTTCCTATTTCAGGTAAAATCAGGATTCAAGAAGGGCATAGTGTTGATCAGGGAGCTAAGACGAACCCAACCATGCTCTGGGAATTGATTTATGTGACCTAGGGAAGATTTTAGAACAGGCTTGCGCATTTAGCTGCGGATTCAAATCCGCAGGTAAATTTTTTACAGGTTTCGGGACAGGGACAATGAAGTGTCCCCTGCCCATTGGTCCGTTCAAATGGCGCGCGCTTTTTTATATTTTTTTTGGCCATTGACTTGTTTTCTTTTATTATATATTCTTTGTATATTACTAACAAATAAAACAAAGCGGCCTAGTGGTAAGCATGCACGTTCAGTATCCATCAGGACCTGGGTTCGAATCCCAAGTCCCCCACTTTCCTTCATAATTTTGTTTTTCAGGTAATTCAGTGCATGTGCCTTGCTACAACATACCATACACCATCAAGCATCCAATGGCCAGATCGCCAAAGACCAGATCTGGTGGCCAAGATCTGAAGGTCTACCATGGTCCAGGTCCATGCACGCCCACCAAATCCAAAAAAGTCAAACAAGGCCAACTTGTTTTGGGCCTTCAGATTGCTATTCAAGCTCCCAATTCAGGCCCATACCCCCCTTCTCTCTCATTTATTTTATTTTTATTATTTGTTTTATTATTTTTTGCTTAATTAACTAACCAATCAAAAATTCTTTTCTTTATAAAATAAAATCATAAAAATATGTTTTATATTTAATCAAATTTAAATTTAAATTTTTATTAATAAACACTAATTAAATTAATTTAGGTTTTAATTAGAATAACTTTAACATATTTTTTTTTGTAAAAAATTAAAATTAAATCAGATTTAATTAGGTTTTAATTACTAACATTAATTATTTTATTTTCCTCTCTTAAAATAATAAAAACCCAAAAATAATTTATTTTTATTAGTTAATTTATTAATTTAGTAATTGATTTAGGTTAACTTCTTTCTTAAAATAAAAAAATAACAAAAAGACATTTTCTTTAATCAAAAGGGTCAAAACCCTAAACTCGCACTCGATCTAATTTCCCGCGCGCCTTATTTATTTTTATCATATTAATGTACTTGCCTCCGGTTTGTAATATTTAGTAGGACTTTTATTTATTTTTTATCGCTTTATTTAATTTTAAAGGGTTTGTCTTTGGCGATGTAAATACCCGACGCCTTGTAATTTAATTTCCGCACTTTTATTTTTCCGCAAATTATAAATTGTTAGATGTTTGATGATAGGATGGCATGACAAGACTGGATGTTTTAACCTAAAATCAACTTAGATCACCCTTAACATGTACAAAGACAAAAATAATTGAAAATGACACACTCGCACATGCGCACTCTTAGGGTACACCCCACTTGGTTGCCTTCGTACGCGGTCATTGAGTATAGGTCACTTTAGAGGTCGTCCTCTTGTCTAAAAGATCATAGTCGCCTCGAAATGGTTGCCTCGGATATTGTTGCCTCAAACAAATGATCTAAGACATTAGGGTTACCGCTAAGGCATCCTAACATTGCTTTAGTGACCGTATGTCCCACATTCGAATTGACCCTTAAACTCCAACGACGGTGCTACCTACTCATCAATAGTAGGATAGCATTGTCTAAAGCATATTAGCATAGAACGATTCCTTTTTCGAGTAGGTAGATGGTTCTTAGATACTTGCTCTTTCAAAAACAAAAACTTTCCACACTTGCACTTTTCGAACAAAGTTTTCAAAAACACTTCATACGCTCTTGAGGACAGAAGCAAGAGTTAAATCGAAGTTTTCAAACAAAAACTTTTTCAAACCCACAAGCACAAAAGAAAATCAAGTTTGAAAACATTTGAGCAAGTACCTAAGAGCCTGTGGATAACCACAAATAGAAAGGGCGCTAACACCTTCCCTTTCTATAATCTACCCCCCAAACCCGAGAAATATCTCGAAAAAGGAATTTTCTGTGCTTTTTTCCTTTCCTTGTTGGATAAAATAAAAGTCGGTGGCGACTCTTGCTTACCGCGACATTTTGCGAACAAAAAACGCAAAACGCAAACCAGCATTCCAAAAAACAGTCAGTTCTTCCCACCGTATCACATGGTGGTTCCCTAAATGGCCTAGATGTTTCAAATCCTGGAGGCCTAGGGGTTGAAAATTGGGCTTGGTTCCCAACATGTGTAAAAACAGAACCAGTTTGGGCATTCGAAGGAATGCCCACTGCACTCGAAGAAAGAGGCATGGTTGTATAATTATTTGTGACCACCGAACCTATAGATGTAGGTATGGCCTGTGTGTGATGGATTATGGTTGATGTATCCATCAAACTCACAACAACTGTGCCTGATCCCTGTGGGGGATTTTGTTCCCCGTCATGAGTAGTTGTGTTAACCATCTTTCTTATATATTTTCTTTTGGGTTTTGGTTGGTTACTGTTGGCTATTTTACAACTTCTAAGGTTCATACAACAATGACGAAAGACAGACTCAAAGGATGAATGACGAAAGATAGACGCTCACAGAAGAATACAAGTTTTCAAAAACTTCGACACTGTCCCACTGGGCGTGCTAATTTGTTTACGTGTGAATTGCTAAACAACCGTCAGTCCTCCAAACTAAATACTTTGGTAACTTGCAGGATCGACTAGATTGATCCTAGTACATGTGTCTAAGTTTCTAAGATTAAAATTGTAATAGGATTCATGTTTAATATTATTTTGTTGATAACAATATAAAGATTAGAATTATAATTTAAAGTAAGTTCGAATAAAAGGGTTTCAAATGAGTAATGTAAAGGTTTCGACTGGAAACGTAAAGAAATGTAAAGGAAATGCAGAATAAATGTAAATAACTTGAAAAAGTAAAAGTTTTGACTAAAAGTAAAGGAAATACTGGAAATGTCAAAAGAGTTGATATTGATAAAGTAAAATGATTAAAAAAGAACAATAATGGTGTCTATACGTACATTTTCTGCAACTCTTTTCTCTAACACTTGGTACTTCGAGTATATTGAG